AGGATGTCTCTGAGGATGGTGATTCCACAACTCTCTCTCTGAATCTTCTAGGTGTGCAGAGGTGGCCACATATCACCTCTGTAGAAAGAGCTACCATTTCTGCTGTGCTGGAAGACTCTGCAGTACCTCTCCCCATAGGCAACTGACACCCCTGTTCAGAAGCAGCCTTCATCACCTCTCCTGCCTGCCAGACCTATAACTAGAGACTAGATTTTAAACATTCTTGGTCATGGGGCCAGAATGCGAGTCTGAATAAGCAAAAATTTATTGACTTGGGGTCATTTCCTTGGAAAATAGGTTTTAATGCCCTAGCAAAGACCCAAGGGATGGGGCACATGTTCTATTGGAGTGACTCTTTGGAATCTCGACAAAACAGTGGTCAAGTGTCAATAAATTAGAAATGTCTGATTAACTTGGAAAATGGTAAAAAAAAAAAAAAGGAGAAAATAAAAGCTTGAGGAAAGTAGGCATGTTGGATTGGATATAACATATAAGGCCAGAAAGTCCACCAGAGGATTATGTCCCATAGAAGCCCAGAAGACACACCATTCACTAAAGCCATCAGTAATGCACTGGTGGGAGAGATGCAGGCCAGGGATGATGGTAGGAGAGATCACAGAGCTGGGCTCCTTCCATGAATTGATGACTTATGGGACCCATCAATAATAGAGGTTGGTGGGGATTAATAACCATCAGAAGCCAGGAGTCCACAATTGTAGGAATAAATGGCAAGGTTGAAGGGAGTTGTAAAGATGGTGAATAATATGTGGTGTCCACAGGGGCAGATTAGAGATGGGGAGAGAGAGTGAGATAGAAGAGAAATATAGAAGAGAATGAGCTTCTCCCTTGCTCAGTCCCCATACATAAGTCGATTTTCAAGTCTGGAACCCACTGACTGAGAAGTGCCTGGGTCACTAAGAAGCAGGACTCTTCAACCCCATGGAATATACCATCACAATCCTCCAGTATTTCCCCAAAAGGAATTACATTCATTACCTGGGTGCTAGTACATGGGGTAAAGAGGAATAGCAGCACATTTGAGGACTACTGAACTCAGGGTCTGAGTTTACACTGATAGTCGGAGACCCAAAGTATCATCATGACCTCCTGTTGAAGCAGGGCTAAGAGGCCCAGGAGTCCTGACTAAAATCCAGCTCACAGTGAGTCTACTTGTTTCAATGACTCACCCAGTGATCATTTTCCCAGTCCCTGAGTGTATAGTTAGAATTGGTGTATTAGGCAATTAGATTAACCCCCATATTGGGTCCCTGGAGAAGGAGCCATTGTAGTGGGGAAGACCATAAGGAAACCTCTGAAACTCATCCTCCCAAATTCCCAGCCAAAATAGTAAGTCAAAACAAAATTTTATCCCAGTGGAGACTATGGAGATTAATGACACTATTAGAGAACTAGATGATGCAGGGGTAATGGCTTCTATCATATGTCAATTTAGTTGGCAATCTGATCCCTGAAGCTACCAGATAGACCCAAGAAAATGGCTGTAGACTACTGCAGGTCTAACCAAGTAGTAGCCTTAATTACAGTAGCTGTGCCAGATATGGTATTGTTGCAAAAACAGATTAATGAGACCTCAGGTATTATATATGAATGTAGCCTATTATTTGGCAAATGTGTTATTTTTTTATTTCCATGGTAAGTAGGAATCAGAAACCATTCATATTTGTATGGGTCAGATGACAATATTCATATGTAGAAGGAGAAAGAAAAAGGCCAAGTTTGAATTTATGGGTGGGTTGGCTAGGTAGTGAGTAAAAACCTGGAAGAGAATACAGCTATATTCTAGACACATAACAAAATAGAGAGGAGAGATCTTCCCAATGGAAAAAAACTGTAAGCTGTGCACCTGGCCATCCACTTTGTGTGGAAGGAGAGAGACCCTGAAGTGAGAATATTCATAGATTCCTGGCCAGCAGCAATGGCCTAGTGATCTCCAGGGGTCTGACAGGAAAAAGACTAAAACAATGGAGTTAAGCATATCTAGAGTAGAGGCATGTGGATCACTGTATGGGAGTATGTACAAAGGGTGAACTATTTTCACCCTTCATGACCACCATAAAGCATCCAACATGGAAGAGACACTAGGTAACAAAGTACATAAAATAACTTGACTAGTTGATATTAGCCAATGTTGACCACCCTAAAACTGACATAATGGGTACATGAATGAAGTGGACACAGTGGTAGAGACAGAGGCTATTTATGGGACCAACAGCACAGATTCCCCAATGATTTTGCTAAACTTTCCTTAAAGTGCATGGCAGTCTAGAATGACTCCACCTAATCTTCTCCTTTTTTTTGGTCAGGGACAGACTTGGATCATTGTCTGACAGGCTCTCCTAGCCTTATCTGTTTCCTTCTACATAGGAATTTTCCCTAATAAAATCATTTTATGTTTATTCCTGTCTTAGAATCTGCTTCTTGAAGGCCGTGGACTTACATAGCTCCCTACTCTAGGAATGCAGAAATGGTCCTTTAGTTAGGCTCCATTTCTGTTCCCTGGAAATAGCTCCATTCTCTTCTGTTTTCCATGACCCTTAGTTCTGGTTTTCTGCATCATGCTTCTTGACCACAGGTGAAGAGGGTATTGGAGACTCCACCTTTTATGAGGACTAACTTTCTCAGCCCCTGCTTCTAAATAATAGGAGCCCAAATGCCATAGTAAGTAACAAATGTCTACAATTTATTTTAGTTCAGGAGAGTGATAGTACAACTCTCTTAAAAACGTAGCTTTGTATCTGTTTAATTCTGGTTAGCTCAATTTGCCAATAGCCACATCTATAATTCTAAGACATACTGCTCTCTCTAGACTTCATTTTTGGTAACTTAAAATTACAGTCTTCTGTGGAAGAGCTGCTTCTTTCACTGAGCCATTTTGACCCATGGGAATATTTGACTTCATTCTACTATAAAGCATGTGCTCACATAATACCATGCAAAAAGCCTCAGCCAGTTTGCCTATTTGCCCAGTTTTTGTTTTCTAGACAGCTCAGGCTCATTTTAGCTTTTACCTCCCCACTGAAAGTATCATTACTAGATTATTTTGTTCATGTTGGAAATACCATGTTGCAGACAATCCTGTTAATTGAGTATTCACACACTTGCTGGGTTCAAAGTCTTTATTTTTTCCTCTTATCCATTTTCAAAATCTCCACAAACAAGCTGGAGCTCTAGGTCAGCTCCGTACTTTTGCCTATTTGCTCTAGTTTATTCTGTGAGAAACTCACTCATTTTTTGTTCCACTTCTACTACAACACGTAAGAAAAAAGGAACAAGGACTATAGCTGGGGACACTCCAACATGTAAGTATCAGGGAAAAGAAGCAGAACCAGATGAGACTGAGAAGGAATAACCAATGAAGGAGGAGAAAAACCAAGAAAGGGAATGCCTTAGATGCCAAGTGGAGAAAACAGCAATTGTGCTCAATGCTTTTGATAAGTCAGATGAAGTCTGAAAATAGATCATTTGCTTTAGCCACTTGGGCCATTGGTGACCTGGAGTAGAGCAGTTTGAGTGTAGGGATAAGGTTGGATCCTAATTGCATGGGTTTAAGAGGAAATTGAATCTGTTTTTTTTCTTCATTATGTAAAGAACCCCCACCCCTTCTCTCTGTTTCTTTAGTTTTGCATCTCTGCCAATCCCCTCAATCAGTACAAAACATCCCATTAGCTAGAGCTGCAAAGTGGATCTTTCCTCTGTAGAAAGTGAAATAATTATACCTATTTTAATACTATATGAATACTATACTATTTTAATACTATATGAAATAATTATACCTATTTTAATACTTTGTCCTCATCTCATCCATTGGTCTAGTCTGCTCGTAGAATCCCTGAAACCATGATTGGATTTTACCTCATCACTTAGCATCAAGGTTAGTGCTAACTAGTTTTTATTATGGTAGGACTTTATCTTACCCTTCTAATTCAGGGTGTTTTTCTTTGTATCAAATCATGTGCCAGCTCTGACTAGGATTTAAAGGGGCTGACATTAGCAGGTTCCATTTCAAGGTAGTTTGAAAAAGAATGTAGTTGGCAGGGCTCTTGGGTTCTAGCACTGATTCTAAAATAATTGTGTGATTTAGTCAAGGTTCTTAGTTGTAAGAATATCTGGGAAAATCACTAAGAAAATATCATCTCTGGAATAAAAGAGTCTTTGTGGTTTTCCATATCCATAAAAGTCTATGCCTTATTGCCCTTAGCTCTTCAAACATTTTTTTAGATTGACTTATTCTTTCCAAATGTCTGAGGAGGTGGATAAAATTATTCATGTTTTAGAGATTTGGAAGTAGAAGCTAAGAGAGTGCAGGTGATTCACCATGTTTTAAAGTTGATAAGAGGGAGAACAATTTACAATTGCAAGCCATGAAGCTAAATGGTCTAGTTTGAATCATGGCTTTGTAACTTACTAACTGTGTGACCCTAGACAGTGATTTAAGTCCTGAAACTCAATTATTTTAACTGAAAATAAGGTTAGGACCAGCATTTTCCTTATGGATTGTTGGAAGCATTAACTGTGATAATCCAGGTAAAATGCTTTAATGTTCCTCAGCACATAGTATGTATTCAATAAGTATTAACTCTTAATAAAATGTATTTCTTTTCCTTTTAGTGTCTGGCTTCCTACTTGCATCTGAAGTATATACCAATTGCTTGTCTGGTCTTTCAAACCACATTTTTATTTTGGAATTCTAGCTACTGGGTGATCTGAAAAGCTATAACTGTTTTTTTAAGGAACATATTAGTATAACAGTAAGGGGAATTTTATTACTTTCTATCAATTTCCAATATAAAAATTGACAAATCAAGGCAGCCCAAATTTGAAAGTGTGTAGAGAGGGAGATTACCACTAAATCACTTCATTTATTTTTCTCTTTCAAAAATACATTTTTTAAAACAGCAGGATAAAAAAGGAAAATTGTATTAGAAAAAGGGCTGTTACCCTACGACATTTCCTCAGTGATTGATTGTATTTTCTCCCAGGAATTGAAGAAAAGGAGAAGAGAACATGACGGTTGATTGCATCAAAAGTGTGACACGAATAAAAGAATCAAGAAATCACATATGTCTGTACAGAAGTCAACTAATAAATCAAAAGCATGTTCTTAGCTAAGTCAGATGTTTCTTTGAAACAGCATATGGTGCAATTCCAATATACTCTATATTCAGCTACCTAACAGGCTGTCTTGTTGCTTTCAACTAGTGAAAAATATAGCAGCACAAATGTTTATAAGGCTGATAAAACATTTTAACTTTATTTTATGCCCTGATTAGCTATTGCTGGCCTGATGATTACATTGTAAAACCTGAAATCATAAATGAAGAAAATAACCTGTTGGCAGGAGTGAACACTAATTGTTACAATGTCCTATATTAAACCTGTTCATAGTTTCTTTTTAGTAGCTATTTTGATGTAAAATTTAACAAGTTTTCTTTTATCCCATATCAAGACTGTCTTTTTTTTTTTAATGTGGATTTAAATTTCTACATCATTTGTAGAGTGGAGTCATAAAATTAACATTTTTCATGATAATTTTAACAAAATCAAATCCTCTTGACTATATCATGCCTTAATCTCTATGTTTGAATAAGGAAAGAATGAAGATTATAATTCTTAAAAATATTATGATGGTAATATTTTGCTATAAAAGATAAATAAATCCTAGTATAATTGAAGAAAACTAGTTCACATAGATTTTTAAACTTTGAAATATTAAAACATTTGTGACTATGTGAAGGTCGTGGGTGGATATAATTTTGTAAGCAACAGAGAAGCTTGTTAGACTATAATTAATTGACAAAAGTGGGAGAAATTTATCTCAGATCATTATTCTCTTTATTTTTCAGGATTATATTTAACTTCTATTATTATGTTAATGTTTGTCAATATTAAATCTGAAAATTACATTCCACCCCCATTTACACTTAGACCAAAAAAATGTAACCCCTCACGTATTTTTGGTCACTGATACCAAGTAAGAACACTCTTTTACAGGAAATTGTTGAGTTCTGTATTTTGTCAAACCCAGTCTGGAAGGAAGGTTGGAGGATATTAGTGAAAGGGTAATTTTGGAATAGAAAAGTAATAATGGTGACATTGGTATAATTTTATAAGTAGCTCTTTCTATGTGTAAATCAGTAAGTTACTGTGAATGAAAACCAAAGACCCTCATCTCCAGTGACCACACTCAGCAGTGTCCATGGAATACATGTGAAGAGTGGATTCTTTATCTTTAGTGTTCTGAGAAAGCCATAGAGCTACTTTGCCAGGATTCTGAAAGCCAGGTTTTCCTGCTTATTTCTTCTTCTCATTAATCCTATTTATTCTTTCCTAAGACCACTAATTCTGTGTTTATTGTCTATTCACTGCATATATTTTATTAGAGCAGGGTATTATCAGTAACAGCAAAATAGTTCATGGAAATATTTTGCTAAAAATGCAAATTGTCAGATCTTGGTGGGACTGATTATATGTTGCAGATTACTTCTGGAATTTTTCCTCCCCTTTGGCACCCAAATAATATAATTGAAAAGGAGAAAAAAAAATTGCACCAGTGAATTGTTTCCTCTGGTATAGATATTTGGCACACATGAACTCAATCATTTCTCCAGTGGTCCAGGACCAAGACTACTTCTGTTCATAGTTGAGAAATATTAAAGAGCCTTGGGATAATAACTTGCTGACTCAGCATCAGGCCATCCACATGAATGGCCTTGCCCATTGCTTGTGCTCCAGTTGTAATAACTGATGTGGTCAAGCCTTTGACCAAACATGTGACCTTTCTCTGTGTCCTATTTAATTTCTTCATAACTTCTTCCTGTCCTTGAATCTTATCCATCTTTATCCAATACCAGACTCATGGACGTTTTTGCATCCTTTCCTATTTGCTTGCCTATCTAGACTTCTTACTGCTTGCAACTGCTTTCCAGTGATAATTATGTTCAGAAGCAGCTGCTCCATGCCGGGATTCTCCTCCTTGCCTGACTGCTTAGATTTCCCTATTGCTGTAATTCCCTAACATGCCACATGTGGATTCAGAATTACTTCTTTGCCTATTGTGGGATCCATGCCGAGTGGCCTCTTTTTTTCATTCAGGTCAGCCTAATTTTGCTGTCTGGCCTTTTCTGTGTGGCTCTGGGTCTTTGATCATGGAAAAGAGGAAGAAAAATTGTGAGTAGAGGGGCTGAAAACATGGCAGTGGTTAGAAATCTGAACTTTGGAGTTTCCTCTGCTTTGGAACTGTCCTGGATAGATTTCTTCTATTTCTTTATTCTTTTCTAATTGTATGGAGAAAGGATTTGTGAAGCCTTGATTAATTTGAAGCTAATGTGTATGTCAGCTCACAGGTAGTGATTTCAGCAGCTATTTTGAGTTTATCCACATGTCAGTAGCTGTAATTGCAAGCTTCTTTCTTGTTAATTCCCGGAGTTGCCTCTCTTTTTCCCCTGCTGTGAAATTTTGTCCCTCTCCAAAACTGAACACATTTTTTTCCCTGATACGCAAAGCACACTCATTAATTTCTCACTTAGTGATGATTCATTAATCATGGAAGGGCATGTGAACTGCAGTAAAAGCAACTCCTTTAATTTAATTTAATTTAACAAACATTTATTGAGTGTTTAATGTGCAGAGCAAAGCGCTAAGCATGAGACCCAAAGAGACCCAGTTTGGGTGATATGTAAATTATTTTTTCATCAGGATAAGTGTTTAATAAACTTTTCTGAATCAAATCTAATTGGGACAGACTTTATTAGGGTTTCCAGTTCATATAATAAGTTCTAACACAAACAATTTTGTAATAGACATAAAGAAACATACTTAGATGGTAACCATAGAGAATGAATAGCTTTTTTTTTGGGGGGGGTAACTTATCTATAGTCCATATTCTCTTGAAAACAGTGCCCAGTCAAGAATTAAACCCTGCAAAGTACCACTGCTTATGCCTTCCTTTTTTTGTGCTCTTTTTGCTTCTATTATGTAGAAATAATACAGAGTTATAATCAGGGAAATAAGAAGGAATGATATTTGAGCAGAAGTTGAATATAGTACGAAATATTCATTTTAATTAAATTAATTAAATGTTCGGTCATAGAATTACAGAACATTAGAGAAGATAATGACCTGAAAATCAATCCAATTACAATCATTTTTACAGGTAAGGAGGCTCAGATCCAGGGAGAAGATGTGATTTGGCTAAGGTTGCATGATCAGTTGGACTTAGAAACCAGCTTGTGATTTAAGTCTGAAGTATTAGTCATGACTCTTTGGATGGTAAGAAACAGAAAACAATTTAAGCTAATTTTTGGAAAATGTGGGTCATGCCATTGAGAAGTCAATGGATTACAGTCATGGTTTGATCTAGGGGTACCAATGGTTTTGAGTTTATTCAATTCTCTCTCTCTCTCTCTCTCTCTCTCTCTCTCCCTTTATTTTTCCATCCCCAGAATTGGCATCTCTATCAAGTGGCCTCCATTCCTCCTAGTGGGGATAGGTTTCATCCAAAATAATAAAAACATGACTCTATAGTCCACCATATTAGACAACACAAAAGGTATTTTTAAATGATTCATGTAATTAAAAGAAAACAAATATCATTGAAAACTGATTTAATACTTTTGGAGTATTGCAATAAAGCAGGAGATATTGATTAGGAAACTTTTTGCTATATTGAATTTTTTTCCAATCATTGAATAATTTTTATCAGCACAGTATACTCTCCTTTACCCATAACTCTCCCTCTGTGATTCAAACTTACTAATAATTAGCAAACCCAACTTTTACACTCAGTTTTCATCTCTCTTATTATTAAATGTAAAACTGCAGGTAAATAGCAGAGAAAATTCTTATTAAAAAAAGTTCTGAGGTCCTTATTGTGCATATTTATTTGATCCTTTGTTTATTTTTATACTTATAGTATAATGAATATTAATAAGTTAATTAGTAATTTGCTTAGCATTTTGCTACATATATAGAAAGTGCTATATGTTATTTTAAAACTAAGTAAAAGCTTTTTGAAATTTGTCTTTCTGAATATAATTATTTTTGTGCCTATGCATGATCAAATTCAGTAATTGTAGTTCAGGGGCCTACATACTCATTAAACACTTATGAAGTTCTTTCTAGAATGAGTTAGCAAATAAGTGAGAACATACAAACATATGTGCATACACACATTCATAAACAATCAAACATGTGACCTCAAGGCAAAGAAATTTACCAATATTCAACCACTTCTAGTCTTTACTACTAATCATTAATTCTGCCTTTATGAGGTAGGTGTTATTTCTAGATTAATGATTAAATAATTAGCCTGATATAGAGTGGAGGCTTTGTCAGATTAGGCTTCCTCTGACAAAGGAGGAAGATTAGCTTCCTCAGATTAGCTCTACCTCTTATTTAACCTTTCTAAGTCTTAGTTTACTCATTGGAAAAATGGTGATTAAAAATAGAATCTACAATGTGCCTGACAAATAGCAAACATCCACACTTGTCTGATTGTAAATCTCAAGCTGTTTTCTTTTATTTACACTTTGTATATCTCAAGCTGAAGCATGCCAACCACTCTCCACCATTCCCTGGCATGTACATATACACAAGGGGATGTGGCAGTTTGCCATAAGTGACAAGTGAAAAGATAAATAAAGCAAATCATCCTCCTTCTCTGTCTTTATGCAAAAGTTTTTAAAGAAATTGAAATATTTTAACCACTAAATAATTTGCAATATTTTAAAGATCAAAAGAAGCATAAAGCTTCCCATTTCCTTTTTTACCCCAGTTCCTACCATTAATTTGAATATTTTAACCAGGTCTTAGACTCTCAATTCTTTGAGCTCCTCATTTTCAGTTATCTGAAAATTTCATCACGGGCATCCCATTCCACAGACATTCTTTGGGTCTGGAAGAATTTTGAATTTCTGTACTTCTGCAAGATTAAGTTATTATAGCTCATTCTTACCACCATCTCTTAGCTTCCTAACTCACTCGTTGAGAACTCCATGTTTGGAAATGTGTTCTTTCTTCCTATCAGCCTCCCTTCTTTACAGCCTGTGGGTTAGGCTTATTTTCTCTCAGAGCAGATACTTGTCAATATCTCCAGTTCTCTTCTGTTGTCTGTTACTTTCTGTGTGCAGTGCTCTTATTTCTCTCTAGCTCCCCAAACTCTTTACTCCAACAGAACTAAAAGTACTAAAAGTTCCCTGAATATGTGCTGCAGCTATGGGATTTTGTTCCTTTGCTTGTACCACTTGGTACTCCAAATGCCTGTCATGTAGAGATACATTTAATTTTCAGGTCTTTCTTGGAAAAAATCTCTATAAAAAGTTTCATGATCATCCCGCTAAATTAAATATATTACTCATTCACTTGGTGCCCCACGGTGATCTATATCCATTACAGCACAGCACAGATTATACTCATTTCCACTTATTTAATTTTTATATCCATGTCCATGGCTGTTTAATTTCTTTATTCTCAGTATTAGTGTAATGCCTAACATGTAGTAGTCAATTCATAAATATTTATTTAATAAATTTGTTAAATGAATTAAGCAAGGAGAAATACTATCTCCCTGCAAAAATTAAAATTTTTACTTTTCCAACAGTAAGGCAGGCATATAAACTTTCATCCTCACTCCACACACATACACCTTTTCTGGCTACT